AAGTTGTGATCGAAAGCTCGAGTGTTTAAATAAATTCAGAAGAATTTTATTATGATTTTCATAGCAGTATTATACTTTATATTTAAAACTTTATTTCCAACTGCTCATTCAAATAATTTTTTCAACAATATTCGTCGAAGTATGCCAATGCGGTAACATCCGGCAATTAGAAAGGAATGTGGTGAAACAACAAAAAGCAATTGCAGATGTGGAATTCTTAAGATTATATTTACTATATAATTTAACTCCTAAATTTATCAAAATTAAATTGTGGAAGAAGAAATTCACATCATATCAACAACATCTTACATATCAGCGTGAATGTTTAAAATCGGAATTTAACAGCAGACACAATAACTCATTGAAGCATCAGAAAAGTTCACTTCTATTACTAAATGAATTGAAAACGAAATTAGATGTTAATGAAATTGAAACATTACAACATCTATTACATAGTAGTGCATCAAGATACAACAACAATGTTTAACAATTCATAGTAAAAAGTTGGAGAAATTGAACAAAGGTATGAAAAACTGAAATATAAATTGGTACATAACATTTCATCTTACATCTTGTTGCCAAATGAAGAACGGTTGTTATTACGAGGATGACAATTCTGTATTGAGCACAAAATTACCAATTTCATTGATTTTTAAACGGACATGGAAATTAATACATCATATTTGCAAAGATACTGTCATTCCTCTATCTTCAAAGATGTATGTCGCAGTTTATACTCCTATTCACAACAAATGATGAAAATATCTAAACGAAAATCTATTCGTAACATTAGTGATGATGAATACAGCGCATTAAAAGATAATAAAAAGATTGTAATTTGTAAGGCGGACAAGGGTAACTGTATAGTGGTGATAGATATGAATGATTATCTAAACAAATCACATGAAGTACTGAAATTAAAACAATTCGTTAAAATGCCAGCAGTCAATGGATTAAATGTACTGAAAGAAAATGAAACGAAAATGAATCAATACTTACGTTCTTTATATCTCAAAAATATAATTGAACAATCATTATATTATAGACTTCGGTCAACCAGTGCTTCACTTAGTGTTATGTACGGTCAGCCGAAAGTACATCGTAATGGTTATCCGTTAAGATCTATTATTTCGTCCGTTGGTTCGTACAATTATGAATTGTCAAGACACTTGGTACAAATTATTCAAAGATATCGTACTCCACCTCCATCATTTGTCAAAGACTCATTTCAATTCGTCGAAAGAATCAAAAATATAGATTATGAGGATGGTCAAATTATGGTAAGTTTTGACATTGAATCGTTATACACAAACATTTCTGTGTACGAAGCCATCGAAACTGCATTGGACCTGATTTATGTTGATGGTATTAAACCCAATGATATTCCATATTGCAGAGATGAGATGAAAGAATTATTAAAATTAGCGATATATGATGTTCCTTTCAGATTTCAAGCAGAGTTAATACAGTTGTTGATTGAACCACAGATGCTCCCTTCATATTGTGTCAAGCGCATTTTCAAGAACTTGTACAACATTTTTTCGGTTATGATCGGTTTCGGTTAACCGTAACCGGTGCATGCCTAATCGTGACAGAGAAATGTAACAGCTTGATTAATTAGTTCATCAGAAGTATCAATGAAAAAATATAATAGTGTTTTACATCTAAAGGAACATAAAGTTCTTTTCTGCTAGATTTTAAATATTATTCTTAAATATAAATTTTATCTCATAATAATATTATTTCAAAACGTTGTAGTTATCACGCGTTAGTATTTACTTTGTCAATAAATTAATTTTATTTAGCTAATTGCTTACGTAAAAGAGAGAAATGGTTATAAAACTGTACGGTTATATTTATTACTGTTTTATAAAAATGTGAAAAAAGAATGTTTTGACAACAGCTAATAAACGTTCTGAAGTTCACTTCATTTCCTACCCTGGAAATTTTTAGTGTCCGGCGCTTCTAGTGTTACGAGATAGGAAGATGGCAAATCGTCACAAATCATTACTATCTTTTCACCCGAGTGTGGTGTACAATCGTCATTCGCATTCGGTCAAGAAAGTGTCTTGCCGAGAAATTCCAGGATAGGGACAATTCGACATGGGCTATAATCACTGATGGTCAAAATCTAGAGACAGTTTTTTGAGGCTCGGAATTCTGAGAAGGTCTTTGGAGAACCTTGGGTATTTGATCATATCATTTCGGAATTCTGAGACTGGCAATAGAAAGAGCTAGCTAAACTATGTCTGATGCAAATTGAGATTCGTCGAATGACGCTGTGGGGAGATATGCACACGGGACTTTTGGGACATTCATAGTATCTCCTAACAAAATAGTCGCTTTTGTACAACTTCTACTAGTCGCATTTGGCACGCGAACTCACTCAGAATGTAAAGGCAAATAGTGCATCTTGTACTTGTTGAAGAGTTCTACATAACTGTTAAATAATCATTTTCTAACTCAAAAAATCAGATGTCCGCCCGCTCTATGGGAAAATGCTCACTGTGCGTATATATCTTTCTTTCTTTCTGTTTGGTTTTTACCATGATATGTTTCTTTCTGTTTTTTTCTTTCTTTTTTAATATGATATCGTTATGTATTATTTCAAGTGTATTGTAAAATTCCTATAGTAGGTAGGTTGTTATGCCACGCACTACAGTCGTGCCATAAGGGAGAAGATCATAGTTAAGGTTATTGCTTAAGCATATAGTCTGAGTAATTGCGCAAGAGTATATTCAAGGTTATGGTGTAAGATTATCGTCAAGATTATTGCACAAGGACATTTAACGCTATGGTGCAAGAACATTAAAGGTTATTGCAAATACATCAATTTTATTGTTAAGGATATCTTTTTTATTTGTAAATAAACGTTAGGTGAGAAAGATCTTAATTTACCCGGGAACCTAACATAGGTGTGAAGAAATTTTTAGTTTTTGTGTGGAAGTCTATTCAGGGTCGATTATAAACATATGTACATATCAACGTAGATCTTATCTTACAACAATGAAAAGTAATCACATCAGTACGTTCTATTTTAACCAAGAAATTGAGTAATATTGAAGTAGATCAGAGTGTAAGCATGTGTAATCGTATTAGAGAATTCGTTTTATGTTGATATTAACTCTATGCGGTTTCGATGACGTATGTGAAGGAATTTTTCCATGTCAACTAATAGATAAGATTTCCTGGAAATTTCCAATTACTACCACATGCATTTGTATAAATTTCTTACACAAGACCAACAAAAGAATGGAAACATACATTATTCATTTCCTTTTCAGATTCGATTAGTTATTATATGCGATAAAAGTGTCTAACAATATTATACCTGACTACTGTGTACATCGAATTTAATTATTAACCAATTCAAAAAAATGGAATGGAACTGCTCTTGGTGTACTTATCTAAATCCGTCTAATGTTGAGATATGTGAAACGTGCGAACAAGGATTACGATCATTTACAACGAATTCTTCCCAAGACAATCTTCTGGAATACGATACTGAAGATCAATCAAGCGAACAAATCAATAATCAAAGTAAGGCTTGGGTGTGATAGTTTAACTTTGTTTTAAAAATTAAAATCGAATTATGATACCTTAAAACTTTAACTTTAAAAAAATCAAAGTTAAAGTGATAAATAATTTATAGCACTAGATTTTCAGTCCTATATTAATTTTCAACCTAAGATAGAGCAAAAGAACGAGTACGTAATATCATACTTAAAATGCTATTTTTCAGACTTTTTTAATTAAATTTATGCTTATTTTTATCAACAAACAACTCCTTTAATTTCGAATCATCGAAAAAACGATTAAGGACTACGATAGTACTACAGAATATCGAACTACAAAACAAATTTATTTTAAATTTAGCTCTGATTGTAACGTTTAAAGTTTAAAGTGTAACTTTGAACTTAAACACTTTACTGAAGTGTTTATGAAGTTGAGGTATGATCCATAAGTACGACACTATTGTATTTTAGTTAATTTATTAACGTGTGAGATCCTAGTTTGGTATCAGAATTTTTTTATTCGAGTGAAGATTTAGGATTGATATTCGATATATATCACTACCAGATGCCAATTAATAAACTTTCTCGGAATTAGTTTCTATATTTTCAAGAAAAATAAATAGATCAGAATTTGTTTGTCTTCTGATTTCATGCAAATTTCTGTTGTTTTTCTATGGATAATGATAAACTATAGATTTTCTTTGAATTGTTCAAACAACAAACGTCACGATGAAATTCTTTTTTTATCTGTTCATATTTTAAATAAAAAAAGTCTTACATTCTGATTTCTGTTTAGATATGTCTGACAAGAGAAAAGATATTTATGTTCGAGTTGATGGTCAACTATTATTTGACAAACAAGCATCTGATGAGCGCAAGAAATCTATTGCTAGAAGAAAAGCACTGGATTTGCGTAAATTACTTCAAAATTCTGCATGTCAATCCAATGCGAAGAATGATACGTCGATGTCTTCTTCTTTGAACTGTTCAGATAATTCATATCATTCTGAATCTGCTGCAATCAATCAGAAAAACTTAGGAAATCGATCTCGTGCCGTATTCGTCAGTGCAAAAGCCAATCCATCGTCAGAATTTACAACGAACATTAAGAAAATATCTGCAGTCGGTGCATCAGCAACCGCATTCGCATCAAAGTCCAAAGGACATGCAAATGCTCTTAATGTTCATGCAAAAGGTGTCAATGCTAGTGCATCTGCAACTGCGGATCGTCTTACAGCTTCTGCATTAAATGCTAACGCAACTGGACTCAATGCTTCCGCTTCAGCATCAGCAACTGCAGTACGTGTAAGTACTTTAAATACCAATGTAACTGCTGCAAATGTTTCCGTTAGTGCAACTGCTGATGGATTAAGTGTTGCAACTGGAAATGTCGGAGTAACTGGAGTAGACGTGGCTGCATCTACTTCGGTATCAGCAGCAAAAGTTCAAGTAGGAAATATTGATGTGAACGGTGCAAGTGCTGGTGCAAGTATGAAAGTTAACGGAGGTGGTGTTACCGCCGGAAATATTGCTATTGGTGGACCCAGTGCTGCTATATCTGTTAATATAGATGGTTCATTATCATTTGGAAATATTAATATTGGCCTTCGACCATCATTAGATATTGGATTGGGATTGAATCTTGGCATTCCATTTTTAAGTGGTACAAAAATGGGATCACAAGGTAATGCGGGTGCTAATAATAGTCAACAGGTAGATGGACAAGGTCAAAATACGGGTGCATTACAAAAAGCACAAGATTACTTGTCATCTAGATTTCCGAACAAACGGATATATAAAACACCTGTGGATGTTTCTATTCAACGAAATAAAGATGGTCAAGAAATTGATCCACTTTTACCTGACACTGCAGGTGAGCAAGCAGATGTTGATGGTTCTGCTGTTAACGATGCTATCCAACGACACAATCAACTTGTTGCAGAAGGAATGAAATTTGCTGGATTCAAGGGATGTCCACCACCGAGTTCCACTACTAATTTATCTTCTACCCATACTTCTAGCTCTGATCCAGCTTGGGAAGGAATGTACACGTCTCCTAGTCCTGATGTTGCTGCTGGTTACGTTGGAAGTGACGACGGTCAACGAGTGGGAGATATTAAACGTGTTTACGTGCCTAACGATGCTGGAGATCTCTACTATACTAAAACAGGATTGGAGACACCTGAAGCTAGAGTGGCTGTGGAAAAAGTAAAAGAGCACTCTGGTGGCAAATATATGTTCAGTGGACCTCAAGACTCAAAGAATCCTGATTTATTTCCACCTGAACTTGTCATCTCACCTTCTGTACGTGATGAAGCAAAAGCTAATGGAAATTTAAAATTTGAAGCCTCAGCACATGTAGTTGAGCCTGAATCTCGTCGAATCGAACAATATCACCAAAGTGAGCTTGAACATTCAAAAATGATTCCAGATTATTTGGTCAATATTAAAACTGCAGTTGATTGTGCAAAAACTGGTGGTCGTGAACGACTTGCTCATGTTTTCCAAGGTCAACCACCATCAGGATGCTACAATAATCCGACACCAGAACCCAGCGTCCAATCAAAACAACCTGAGATGAGTGAAGAAGATAAATTATTATTAGAAGAATGTACAAAAGTAGGCGTCCATCTAACATCTGTCGAATTGGATCATTGGAAGAAGAAATTGAAGAGTGATGCAGAATATGAACGTGATGAAGATTTAAGTACTAATGGAAATACTAATATGAATACTAGTCATCAAAATGAAACTTCTAAAACAAAAGATGATGAAGAACTAGTCACAGAACCACCAAAACCATGCAAAAATCATGCGGCTAATGTTCGTTGCATGAAATGTACCCAAAACTCATCTGGTCTCAGAATTCGTCAAGTTCATAACAATATCCATGGTTTCAATTTTAAAGATTAGAACTGAACATTTTTTTGTTATCTTTTGTGTGTGTTGTTTTCCAGTTTAATATTATATCTCGAATAAACGTTTCCACGTGAAGCATCTTGAGAATGAGAGGGTGAGACTAGCTACCATGACCGGTTTCGTCCTTGCTAAAGGGACTCATTCAGATGGCAATAATCTTTAATTCGATTCAATATATATATAAAAATATATATAGAATCAAGTCGAGATTATTTATCCTATTACAAACTCACTATAAATAACTAAATTGTGAAACAACCAACTAACTAAACCCGTTCATACTGTAGACCTGCAGGTTGAGCCTCACCTAACCATATAGGCAGGATCATATTGTAGTTTTTACAGGTTAGATTAGATTTCAGAGCTTTTTGTAGGCTAGTTTAGATTGCCGTGTTCGCAACCTGTATTCAATGTAGATTTGTAGTTTTCAATAAAAATAATTTGTAAGTTTTTGCCAGTTTTTTGCCTCATTTTTAAAATTCCATTAAAAACTTCAGTTTTAGATATGAAGAGTTCATTCTAGCATAGTTCGAGAGAGGACATTAAATTATATAACGAAAATAATTCAATATTATTATCTGATGAAGTCTTTAATTTAATTTAATATCTTAAGTTTGCTTGCAATTCATAATGAATAATATTAAATATTATATTATAGGTATAATATAATATAAGCCAGACGTTTCAATTTATTAGCTAAATTTTCTTCAGTGGCAAAAAACAAAAACAAAAATAAATTTAGATTAAATTAGATCAATACATTTTAAAAACATTAAACATAAATTGTCACAAGGAGCTTTTTCAAATATCGTACATAAGATGTTAACAATAATACAATTGTACAAATGTGACGAAACAGATTGCATTATACACATATAACGACAATTTTATCTCTCTTCCTATTTCTTTATCTGTTTGCCAAACTTTTCTTTTCTTTACTTCTTTTAATTTTCCTATACAAGTAGATAACATACATAAGGTACATATCAAAAATATCGCAACGTAACACATGTCTATATATTGTTAACAACAAATTCAAAACCATAACTAATAAAACATGTAACTCTTACAAAAACAAATTATTTAATTATTTAATTAACATACACCTACATTAACCTACATCAAAAAGTTCTTGTTCTTAGGCATCTTCTCAAACCATAAAATGTAATTTTGACGGGTTCTTTCTCCACCAGTATTGGAACTAAGGGTTTTAGAATATTCTCCTTTTTATTCTTTACTTTTTTCCTCCTCAATAGGATAAAAAAATTTTTCCCGATCGTGGTTTAATCCACTGCTTAATCATAGATATCCATTGCGGACTAATCTTTTGACGCTTATTATACGATAAATTGGTGGTAGAATAAACACTTTCAAACTTCTTCCTTCGAAACAAATTACTTTCATTATCAAAAATTACGCTTTCATCAAATTTAATCGCACAATCGGTATTAGCACTGATATGTTGAACCAATTCAGAATTATCGATATCAAATTTTTTAATTTTCATTTTATGTTGTTTAATTCTTTTATATAATGATACGGTTTCACCTGTGTATAAATCACCACATTCACATAGTAACCCGTACACTGCAAATTCTCCAGTTTTTATACATTTTTCTTCAATAGTTTTATTTTTATTTATATTGTTTAGAGCAACTATTTTGCCTTTATTAACCATATCACCTATACTAGGATTAAGTTTTGTATAAATTTTGACTCCAAACTTTTTAAGGCAATGTCTTAATTTTTCTGTCAATTCATTAACATGAGGAATAACAATAACACTCTGTTTACTATTTTGCCCATTCTCAACCATTCGTCTATCCTCATTATTCTGTTTTCTCACCATTCGAAAAATTTTCTTTACTAAATCATGTGGATAACCACTATTCACCAGAATATTTACAAGTATCTGCATGTCATTATCATTATGATTTCCATTATTTGCTATCTGAATTCTCTTAATCATATTTATAGCAATATTTTTCTTCATTGCCCGATTATGATCAGACTCATAATGTAGCAAACGGTTACTTGCTGTTGGTTTTTTAAACCAATTTGTTTCTAAACATAATTTAGTTCCATTAAAATGGATTTGCACATCTAAGAAAGATATAGAATTACTTTTCTCGTATTCATATTCAAATTTCAAATTTTCATCTAACTTATTAAACTCGTATACTAAAGATTTAATTTGATTTTCAGATAGTTCTGACACCACAAATATATCATCAACATATCCAGCTAACCCAGAATATGGATATTTTTGAAAGTCCCAGTATTTTGCTAAAAATTCGTTGACAGAAATATCAGCTAAAAATGGCGATATAGGAAGTCCCATAGGTAGACCATTTAACTGATAATAGATTTTATCACGAAACTGAAATATTACATTTTCAATACAAAATTCAAATAAGCGAATTAAGCTTTCTTTGCTTAACGGCATTTCTCTCGTCCAATCTTCATTTAAGTCTAACATCTTGTCTAACGTTTTCAACATTTTATTTCTATCAATTGAAGTGAACATATCCGAGACATCTAGACTCGCAAGTGAATAATTCTTCTTAATTTTGGATTTGTAAAGCTGTTTAATAAATTCTTGTGTATTTTTAATACAACGAACTCCACCTGCTAATGATTTAGTTATCTTTGTTAAATATTTAGCTAAGTTTGAACACATTGTATCCCTCATTGAGACAATGATTCTCATAGGATTACCCTCTTTACGTACTTTCACTTGTCCCCTCACATACGGTATGTTTTTATTATTCAATAAATATTCCATAGTTTCTTTCTCAAGCAGTCCAAAGTAGTTAAGCTCTGAATACCATTGTAATCCCCTTTTCACATCACTTACCATACTATGGAAGATATCTCTCTGCTCATAAGATAAATAAATAAAAAAGCATACAGTTAAAAGATCTGAACATTGACGGATATACATACACACACATAAATCTATCTCGGCTAATGTCATCTAAAATCACGGTGCTTCCTTTCTCTATATCCTTCACATTGACTGTCAGATTAATAATCCTTTTCATCATTTTTATTCCACTTTTTTTGCTTAGCTCTCTTTTCTTTTTTTCTTTTTTTTCTTTTAATTCTCTGAAAGGATAGTGCACTGAGCGATATAATGCAACAATAGTTGCGACTTTGTTCTTGTACCATTTCTTTTTCTTTTTCTTAAAAATAAAAAAGTTTATACTGACAATTATATATGACACAATAACACAAATACATGATAGACATTGTAAGAGATAGCTGTAAATACCGCTATGATATTCGATACGAATAAAGAGAAAGACGCTAAGCTTTTTTTTTATAGAAATAAGAATTTCTAAGAAATCTTCCAAGGATTTTTCAGATTTTAAAGTTCTATTAAGCACCAACAATAAGTAAATGAGAAATTCAAAATCGGGCTCTGTCAACTCCCAGGCATAGGTGTTTATTTCAAAACAAAACCAGTCCGAGCTCTCTATCAATTACCTGGAGTAAGAATTCTTGTGAATGGCAGACGCCTATTTTTGGCCCTTGTTGTGGCCTCATCTCACGAACAGTTGCAAATGACGCCAAAAAAGAAATTTCTTTACCATACTTTGACATGGTCAACATTCCCTGAAAGTTTGGCTCAGATCAGACCTACCTGGACCGAGATAGGTTTCTGACCGAAGGGCTTAATGTTTGTTATTGTCTTTTACTTTTCGTTTCATATGTAGGAAAACTAATGATATAATAAGAACTGTGTTTAATCGACTTCCTGTCTTGCAGCAACGATAGAGTGTGGATATTAACTTTATTAGTGAAACATTCCTTGAAGCTATATTAGGGTGTTATCATCGTAGTAATAATATAAAAATATGCTTGGAATTATTAATTGAATTTATTCCTGAAGAAAAAAATTATTTACAAGATTATTTCAATTGTCTAATTAATGATAGTATTGAATTACTTGAATCAACGGATACACATTTATACTTTTTGGCTGCAACTCGAATTAGTGTGGCTATAGCAATAGAAAGATTTTTCCTCAATGGGAAAAAATTGGACAAATTGCTTCGAATGCAGTTGCATACTGCGTATCGTCTACAAGAAAACGGTCACACGTTGAAAGCAGCAATCGTCTATATAGAATTATTAGATATATGTAAATCAATAACAGATAATTCTATTGAAAACCGCAGATTCATTTCAAATATTAGTACAAATTGTGGTGTAATATGGTATGCAGCAATTAAAAATAAAAGCTTGCTATTTGAAGTGTTGCAAAAATTTAACACAATCGACGAAGTTTATCATTATATTATTGATACGCTGCATGTGACTGATGATTATTCAGATAATTTAGTTGGATTTGGAGAACTTCTCAATTTTTTGTACAATGAAAAACATTATTCAGAGATCATATGTGATGAAATGCTATCTCGGAAAAGTACTCTGTTTGAACTGAATAAAGATGATTTTTCCAACGATAATATTTATCTATATGGAAAATATGATACGCAAACGGTTGATTCAAATGTTAAGAACTTAATTACAAAATATAATAACAATTATCATATATTATCAAAACCATTTATATACTATACTTTCACACAATGTTATAGATTAACAGACGATAAACAAACAGCTGAAATAATGGCAAAGAATATGAATGATGGGATCGATAATTTCAAGAAAAATAAAGATTCAGAAAAAGAATTACATATCGATGAGAGTGGTGTCAAGTTCCACAGTTCCGTGGAAATTCCGGCAGAATTCTGCAGAACTGCAGAATTCAACTTCACATTCAAATATATACTGTAGTTAAGATTCTGTTCGGAATCTGGTTGAATTCCAATTCTAGTTCTACGAGTTATATTAGT